GGTGGAGTCACCATCCCTGGAGGAACTAACGTGGGCAACGTGGTGAAGGACGTGGTTTAGTAGTGTTAATGGTTGGACTTGAACATGAAAGTCTTTTCCAACCTAAATGATTTTATCAAACTATGATCAAAAGGTTATCTCTGGATTGCCAGTAGGATGAAGAATAACATCTAGTTCTCGGTAAGCCTGGTAAACTGCTAGAGCGAATTCTAACACAACTTATCTAGCTGTTAGGTAGCATCTTTTATTACTGATAAATGTCATATTGTCTCAGAATTGAGCTCTGTGGAGATGAATATAAGTTATAAAATAAGCAGCTTGATGAATATAATTGTACACTACTTCAAAATAATAAAAGTGAAACTAAACCAGGTAAGGTAGAAACTGCTCCTTGTTACCTACAGCTAAAAAGAAAGTATTTTCCCTTGCAATATCCATGCATGAAACCAATCCTGCACACATTCAGAGTTTGTTAATTTTTTTTTAAATACATACATGTTCTTTATAGATACTCCTTCATTATCTTTTATTAAGTGTCTAGTAAAGTTGGAGCTTTTAGGAAGTTCTGTTGCTTTTAAGGTCTGATGGTTTAGTAACTTGGTTACCTTTTCATTGGAAGGGCTGGAACTCTTACCTGACTCTCTAAAATTTTTTAATCCATTTAACATAGTGGAACAACCTTTTTTTTTTTTCCTCCCCCCCTCAACAGGAAGTCCGTAAAGTAAGTGAGAGTATCAAGTATAACCACCCTTTGAGAAAATGTGTTGATACAATACTGAAAAAGGTAATAAATTGCTCATCTTCAGCCATATTGTTCAACCTGGGGGTGGAGGGGTGTGTGCTTCCTGCACCTGCTGAGTACTTGTACATGATTTCATTTCCTCTTAAAATAAAATCTCTAATTGGCATCTTACGAGTTTCTGACCAGACTTGGTGTTGAAATTCTATTGGAATGCTTTCTTATGATTTATGTAATTACCTGCTATATTTTGACATACGTAGTATTTTAGAAACTGAAAAATGTAAGGCAAGCTTTTCAGTTGCATGAAATGCCCCAAATATTTACAGGTAATTAAAAAAGAGTACTTGCTACTCCTTTGTCTTCCAGTTAATTTTCCCTTTTCCTTCCAGTGTCCTAGTGAGTATCAGGAAAGAATGGGCAGGAACATGGATGATTATGAAGATTTTGATGAAAGACAGAACAGTTATCCAAGTGAAAAAAATCTGGTCAAACTTCACAAGCAGGTATATTAATTAATGAGACACTCCCTCATTTACAACAGTGTAATGAGAATAAATGCTAGTCAAACAAAGATTTTTCAATGCACTTTACCTGAGTTGCTGAGTATAGTGGGTTTTGGGATTACTGCTTATCGGAAACTTTTCTTAGTGAAAGAAAACATAAGTTTAGTATCCGAGGTGATGTCCAGATCAGATTTCTGGTTGTGTAACAAGTGTTCTTGTTGCATTATATCTTGAGGTGTTTTAACTGCCCGTGAATAAGCCTTGTAATGGTGGATTGACAGTGCATACTAAACCAGAAATTGTAGTAAGTGCTTGGTATTCAGTAAGATGCAAAAGTAAAGTGGTGTGTTGGTTAAAGTAGGCTGTTACTTCTACAGATAGATTGTGTTGAAAGAACTGCAAAACTCAGGAACCATGTATATGGTCCATGTATATATTTAGAGAAATAATTGCATGCTTTTGTGAGTAAACAGAATTAATATTTGCAGTTCAGTGATGTAGACATTTTTACAGGATTTTGCAAAGCTTTTTTTTTTCTTGAAACAAGTATGCTGTAACCATAATTTATTGGAATTTATTATAGGTAATCTACTCAGTACAGAGACATCGTCGTACACAGGTCCAGTGGCAAATTCTTTTGGAACAAGCATTTTATCTAGAAGATGTGGCAAAAAATGAAACCAGTGCAACTCGACAGTTTGTGCATACCTTTCATTCCCAGGAACCAGAGAATAAAATCATTCGGTATTTCTACACACCAACTGTTGGTAAGTGCTGTCATGCAGATTTTGAACATGTAAAGGAGTAACTGGTACCATTTTGTAAGAAGAACCGATTGTTTTACGTAAGTTCTGTTACAATAGGGGGAGGCAGATATGCAAATTAATGCATTTATGTAATAGAATAGCCATCAGGTATTGATTTATGCTATATCACCAAGGTAACTGGGTCAAAAGTGAAGAGTTCTGTTCTACACCCCCTGCAAATCCATTTGCAAAACTTGCCTAACAAATCCCACACTGTCTTCCCTAGTTGTGCATATGGTTCCTGAGGTATGAGCCAGATGTCTAGGCATTGGAAAACTCCAGAAATTCAAGTGTGTGACCCCACAAATTTCAGCTTTGATTTTAAGGGCCTCTGTGCAAGAAGACATTTACAGTTTTTATTATGGAGTTCCATTTCTGGTTGTATAATTTTCATTAACCCATTCTATATGTGTGTGTGGTTGTGTTTGGTTTATTTTTTCCAGAGTGGTACTGGGAATGTCTTCTACGACCATGGTTTTACCGGGTGCTTGCAGTTGTTTTGGCCACATTCTCCGTAATTGTTGTGTGGTCCGAATGCACATTTTTCAGCACAAAACCAGTTTTGTCGTTATTTGCAGTTTTCATACAGCTGGCAGAGAAGACATATAATTATATATACATAGAGGTAAGTTTTGAGATAATTGCTCAATAAAAATCTTCTCAGATGGATTGTTATTATAATAATAGTTGACCAGATTGATGTAAAAATTAGTCTCTAAATCTGTCAACTTTCAGAAGGTCTCTAAAACATTTAATACCAAACTTTGTTTCTCTGGAGGGAATCTGCCTTTTGCCACTTCTTACAACTCTCCAGTATGGGTTGAAGATGTGACCCAGTTGAACTGAATATCATGTGTGGAGTAGTTTTGTGAAACGTTGCCTTGGAGCTTAGGTGTTTAGACTTTGTGTCTGCTCAACCATGTGTGTGATCTCTCTTGCCTAAACAGGAATTTGCTGCTGACCAGAAATCCACTAACAGGTGTGGCTAGCATATGTGTGCACAAATTTGTCAGTAAAGGAGCTGAGCTGAAAAATTCCAGTATACTAACAAAATAAGTTGAATTGGAAATACTCGTTCTTGTCACTTTTTGTGGGAATAAATGTCAAACAGTCATAGTGTTTATCAAGGCAATTACATCAATTTCATTTACATAACAAAAAGAAATAGAATAAATGTTCCTGGGGTCAGTTTCTGAAGTGCAGAAAGTTAGAAGTATCATTATCACCTTAATAAAAAAAAATTCCTGGAACTCTTCTCAGACCTGGTGCTATTGTCCCATCTCGAAATGAAAAGTTAGGCTGCAGTCAACTTGTTGTGTGCACAGACTACGTGCTGAATATATTAAAACCTTTAGTAGTTTTCCACATTCAAACAACTTTTTTCTTTTTTCCAGATGGCCTGTTTTCTTACCATCTTTTTCCTAAGCATCTGTGTTTATTCTACTGTCTTCAGGATCCGTGTATTTAACTATTATTATTTAGCTTCACATCATCAGACAGATGCATACAGTCTCCTTTTCAGTGGCATGTGAGTATGCAGCACATGTTGCAGATTTTCTGTCAAATATTCAATTGAAAATGTCCATGAAACTTTCATACCACAAGGGTATAAATCCTAATGATGCTGTGATATATCTCGTTAATGATTTTTATGTGGTTTTTAGTGCAAGAAATTGTTTTAAATGCTGTTGCCTCTTGCATTTGTGCAGGTTATTTTGCCGTCTTACTCCACCATTATGCTTGAACTTTTTGGGCTTGACCCATATGGATGCAACAATCTCTCACAAAGACACTCAGCCAACTGCTTACACATCTGTAAGTACAGAATATGTGGGTTTGAGGTTTCTGTATGGTTTGGAGAATAGGCAAAATATTTTTAAATACTACTTAGAGGAAGATTCAGATACCCAATCTTTTTGCTGGTATTAAACAGGGTAGAATACTTACTTACAGACAAGGAGTTTCGTAATGATGGCTAGTTTTGGTCTCTTTATCCTAAAAAGGTAAAGCATTACTCTGAAGAATTCATACTGTTTATAACTTCCTAATAACTTTTGTTTTCACTGGCTGTAATGTGTGTGACATTTTTATAGATGGTGAGTAAACCTAATCTGCAACTGAAAACCAGTGGTTTTACTGAACAACCAGTTTCTGTAGGACAGCAAGTTACATCTCACATCTTTGTTGATAGCAAGTAGACTCTTAGTGTTACCCAGAGACTTTTCACGGCAGATGAAGAGCTCCACCAGATTTGAACTGGTTCTGGATTAGGTGAGACAAAAAGATGTAGTGCCTTAGAAACCCCAATGTGGATGCACTGTTGGAGGCAGCCTTTGTATCTGGGCATTCTGGGTCAACTGTCTGATTCAGATCTGTGATTATACTTATATTTCAGTAACCGTAAAGGATTGTGCACTTGTGTTGTGGACTGAAAGCAGTGGTATGGCACAATATTTATGGATATATGCAGAATATATCTGTTTAGAGCTTGTTCTTGTGGATTGTTTTTTTTCAGATAATGGGCTCTATGAGAGTGCTGTCCTTCATTGCAGATGGATTCTATATATATTACCCAATGCTTGTTGTTATTCTCTGTATTGCCACATACTTTAGGTAAGTCATTTGCAAGACACATTCTCCATGTTTCTTTAAATCAATAATACTAGCTTCAGCAGTCAGGAAGGGATACACTTCTCCTCTACCAGCAAAAAGTCCCAAACAATAAATTGCTATTTATATATATGTGAAATGTGTGCATCTTAAGAATATTGATTGTATTAATTCATAACTGACTTTTGGGTGTGTGTTTTCCCATTAAACCTCATTCCTAGATTTTGAGGTCTGATCTGTTCAAACTTCAGAGTCCACAAACATTTAGATTCTGCTTCTGAGATTAAAATTGCTGTGAGGAAGCTGTGTTTTCAGCAAGGTTTTCTAATAAACCAAGAAGCATTAGCAGAAACTTTAGGTAGTGAACTTTCTAACAGACTCCTAACAAGTTTCTGATCCATTACTGGACTTGAGTTTGAAAGGAAAGTGGTTTGAATCATTTGATCTTGTTTCCCTAACCCACAAGTTATAGGAGGCTGGAAGGGTAATTGCAGAAAATACTGTTATATTCTTGCTTTATCCTTACATTTCAAGATGTCGGCTTTTGACCACTGTACGGGATGAGATGCTTTCAGTCTGACGTTGCTTGGCTACATTTCTGTTCACTTCTTCAATTTTACTTTACCATTCAGTCAGAAGCGATGCATATATTTTGAGTCATGTAGTTAAATGTCTTGGATGTCCATTAATACCTTATGTGCATCCATAGATAGGAAAATAAGAAAGATCCAGTCGTAGGTATTCCCTGCTTACCTTTAGGTTAGGTGACAAAAGTCGTGTTGGAGGCAAAAAACCAACCCCTGAAAAACAAACAGGAAAGCCAGTAGCAAGAAAACAGCTTGTGTGACTCCTTATTCATGATCATCCTGGGTCCTGAATGCCGTAGTGAAAAGAAAGAAAAGAAACTGAAGGAGAGGAAGTTGCTTTGCTTGAACTTTAATGCCCTCTAATAATTCAGATATGTGCAAAATGGAATGTTTGTTTAAATTCTGTCAAGAAAAGCTGTCTCCCATGTTTAATCCATCAGGCTTAAAGTTCAGTTGGTATAAAAAAGTAACTTCTTAGCATAAATATACAATGAAGCTAACTTTGAACATGATATTGATGCTCCAGCTTGGACAGAGGAAAACAATAACCAAACCAGCAGTTATGTTCTCTGGTGCAAAGTCAAAAGAAAGTGGTTATGTGCCGTCTAGTTCTAGGACTAGCTTAAAAAACGGAGCAAGTTTATTACCTGACTGCTGCCTAATTAGTATCCAAAATGGCACTCAGCAACTACAGCTGCTGTATGTCCACACATTTTTCCTGAGTAAAACCTGAGATTAAGGTGTCTTTCCTATGTTATTTCTGTCTCAAAAACCACAGAAATCATAAATGGCAGAATTTTTATAGTAATTGTCTTTTGGCACAGAAGAGCCAAGGAGATATCATAGGTATAAATTCTGTTAACATCTGAGACAATTCAAGAAATTGTCTTATTTTGAATCATATGTAGTACTCTCTGGCTGTGAACCATTTTATCTCTCTGTTTTAAGGGGATAATTCCATCACTTTCATTTGGATTTAGGAACATATCACTGTTCTGAATTTTCTGATATCTCTGATGGTATAATTTGTCTTTTCTTCTGTACTGCTTTTTCACTTGAATTGTCCATAAATTTCTGAATATTTTGTTTTACATTTTGAATTGTAATGTATCTAAACTATTCATTGTTAATTAACCAGGGAAATTGTTTCTGTTTCTGCTTTTACCAGTTTAGGAACTCGTTGTTTGAATCTTTTGGGATTCCAGCAGTTCATGGGGGATAGTGAAATGACCTCTGATTTGATTGACGAAGGGAAAGAACTAATCAGAAGAGGTAAGTTAGATCCTCTGTCCTAGTCCTCCTGCAAAATACAATATATTGTTGCATTAAACTTGTATGAAATGTTACTCACACACACAAAAAAGCATATAGCTTGTCAGTATTTTGCAAACTGTACTGAGGTGGTCTGCTGCACAAAATGTCACAGACTAAGGGCACTGCGGTTTCCACATCAGTAGTGCTGGGCTTCGTTGACATCTGGAGTAAAGTATCAGCTTTGTTCATCCTGTATATGCATTTTGGGGATTTCTAAGTATTTTTTAGTTTTGCAGTGGTGATCCTCTGAAGTCATTACTGATCTAATAATACCTGAGCAGGTGCTTGTATAATCTGTCATACAGGATAGTTAGCACTTAAATTGTCTTTATCATCCACAAGCTCACTTTAATCTTTATTTGTCTAAGTGTGTTGATTGAGCTGCCCAAATTCTGTCATTTCCTTCAGGATTTTTTGCTGTTTCGACTGTGTTTCACTAAACAAAGGATGTTCTGTAGAGCTGTGATTATCTGCTGGTTTGGAAAGCTTTTTTTTTTAATTTTTATTTTTATTGAAATAGTTTCTTGAAAGTTGTTAAAAGCTATTGCGGTTCTTGAGTAAATGTTTAGAAACTAAAATCTGGATACAAAGTTGTATTGTGGAATACTTTCATTTTCTTTTCATGGTTTATGTAAACAAAACCTAGACATACTCTGGGCCTTGCAGAACTTCAGCACGATTTTGATTCAGTAATGCTCAGGTTTCTTCTTAATGTCATCTTTTTCCGACTATTTCTAAGGCTTTTTTTCACATTGCTGGCTGTTTCCAGATGTTATGCCTTGACCTAAGATATGGTCATGATGAATTCATTTTAATGGGAAACTGTTATGATGAAAAAGCAGCTCTGTCTTTTCTTTTTGTTTAATTGTATGAGCCATCTATTTCAGTAAGAATATTTGCTAGTTAACTTTAGGTTTTCATTGTTTAAAAAAACAAATTTGGTGATGATTTTTGTTGTATGGAGCTCAGATTTTTTTTTTTCTTTTTAATAGAGAAAAGAAAACGACAAAGGCAGGAAGAAGGTGAAAACAGAAGAAGGGTAAGAGATTGTTTTAGCTAATTATATTATTAATATACTACAGTGTCTGTTAGGATTTGCTCTTGCTGTTTAATTCAGCTTGAACTATTTCACAAAAAAATGTCTCCAATAGTTGATGGAATCACTTTAATCTTGCACAACTGTATTGGCGGGGGGGAATAATTCACATTTTAATGTTAAAATACAGTGGTCACGCTGCTCGGAAATTTTTGTTACTCAGTGTGCTGTGAGAATGGTGTATGCTAATAGGTGTAACAAACGTTAAAGGTCCTCACTTCAAGGGTGCAGAATAATCTGAAATGCCTTATTATTGGTCTCTTTTGTTGATACTGCTCTGCTTGAAATATGTGCAGTTGCAGTATTGTCATATTCACTGAAATGGTGACTGTATGCTCCTCCCAGACTTACCTGTTGCTTTATGTTCTCTTTGGAAAGTAATTGATGCAGATTACTTTTTTAGGGGAGAGAATTACATTATAAGACAGAATTAATACTCTAACCACTGAGTAACAAAGAGAATGTTTGACTGAAATTATACTTTGAGTGCATACTGAATTTGAAAGATTTGTGAAGGCAGTCAATAGGGACAAAAAATAATTTATGCAGCTTCATTTTAAGGAGCTTCAGTTAACAATAGCTTTAGTTTTTCATTAATTTACAGCCTTTGGAATTTAGTTCAGAAAGTCACATCAAATAGATAAATCGAAAGGATGCATGCAGGAAATGAACTGTCTAAAGGAAGGGAAAACAGTTTCTGCAGAAAGGCAAGGTAGTACTGGGACTAAAACATCTTGGTTTTTCAAGGTCAGGTGTACTTGGATGACAGCCAGTACTGCGTAGGCCTTCTTACCCTCTCACCGCCATCTCATAATTTTAGAACTTGAACTTATTATGAAGGAAATGCCTAATATGTTTATTGTACACTGAAACAATCTGGCAGTAAGCAACAAGTTTAGTTCAACAGCAAACTCAAATCTCTTCCTTGAGTTTGTGTGAAAATACTGCAGCACATTTCATTCTTGAAACTTTAGAGGCTTTTGAGATTGTAATCTTTCACTGGATCATGATGAAGTGTGATCCTCTGCAGCTTAGAATGCAACGTATGGTATAAATTAGCACAGTAGCTCTGAGTATGCCAGTTCCTACCAGTCCATAATCAGGGATCTCGATATGAATCTGAACCACATTAAAGTTACTGGAGCAATTGGAAAAACATCTGTGGGGACATGAAGTTGTCTCCTAATAAAAGAATGAGGCACTTTCTTCTTTAATATTTCATTATATTTCATACAAAAATGTTTACATACTAAAACATGGTGGGATGGAAACGCAACAGAACAAAAACATTGGGACAGGCCATGTTCACTAACCTTGTTGGGGTTTTTTTTTGTTCTCTGCATCTGGTTACTTTACCATTCTACCACTAGATGGAACTACAGATCAAAAAAAGCAGTGTTCCCATTGCAACAACGTAAAGTTTTTGAGTGCAGACTGAACATGTATTTTGTTTTCTGAAAGCCTTCTGTTTCAGGGACAGTTATGCTAACTGATTTAGTGAAGGGTCATCTTGAGTTTAAAACAAAACAAAAAATGTTCCTGTCCAGTATCTTCATACAGGAATAATTTTCCAAGTATTACTTTCATAGTCTGATGTGATTTACCAATCAGCTCTAAAGTTTGAGTCTGGAATATTTCTTGATACTGCATAAGCTTCTGTTGAGTTTTGCTGTGGACAAATTGTTGGATAAGGAACTGGCTGGATGGTTGCGCTCAGAGTTGCGGTCAATGTCTCGATGTCTTGAGTGGAGACCAGTGACG